GAAGACCCCCAACGAGATGGATCAGCCAGGTGGCATCATTGATGGACTCAAGTGTGGCAGCGGTAGTGAGGTTGGCCCAGGATCGAACATTGTTTCATTCTGCTGTGCATGGGGTCGCTATGAGTCGGTTCCGACTCGATGGCACCTGACAACAACAACAATGCAGGTTGTATGGTGCTTTAGGATAAGCACTGGACTGCTGACTGAAAGCTCCGTGTGGTTCAACCCCATCAGCTGTTCCTCATAAACCTTATACAGGGTCACTCTGAATACAAACTGACTTGATGGCACTTAACGACGATGCAAGCTGTGCTGAAAAACAGACTGGAGGCAGGCAAGGCACTGTGGGCCATTGTGTGGGCGTGGGGCAGCAGATATGAGTGTGCTGTCTTGGTGCCTTTCAGCTGCCAGTCATGGGCTCAGCGGGTCACTCACAGGTGTCCTAGGGAGCGGGTGGTGAAGAAGGAGCTCAAGACAGCAAACCAGGAGAGCGCATTCCATCCCAGCCAGCCGGTGTGATTGTAGAATCCAGGCCTGGGCTTTAACTGCTGTTCTCATTGGAGTTAGCCTCAGTAGGAGGTTCCTGAGGGTGTGGAGGAGTTGCTGGGGCTCCCAGTGATGCTGGACAAGGCAGGGGCCTTGATGGGTGTGGGGAATGGATAGGAGGGTTTTGAGAGGAAGGTTTGCCAGGACTTAGTGACCAGTAGCTTCTGAAGGTGGCTCAAGCTGTAGGCAGTCCATCTTACTGTGTCTTAGCTGGGGCACAGTAGGGCCCAGAACAGAAAGTAAGAAGGGAAGTGGGGGAGAGCAGCTGGTGGAAATGACCAGCCTCTGGAGTTTGTAAACTGTCAAGGTTTTCCCAGATGGAGACACTTGGACTTCATCGTGGGTCCCTTGAGGGGAGGGGAAGGAAGAAGCACAGAGGGGGACCCCCACCCTGTGAAAAGTGACTTCTAGGAAAATCTATATTCAGACCTTTTCCAAGCCTGTGAATACTCAGGCTGTGAGGTCCTGGGGTGCCTAGAGGTGTCTCCAGCTTCAGGGTGAGGGTATTCTTCAGCTTCAGGGATCCTTTGTCACAGGCTGCTCAGCCGATACTCATTCCAGGGTATGGCTTTTAGAGCCATCAATCTGTAGTATGAAGATCCTGAATTTTCCACGGTATGATTAATGAAAGAAAAATTGAGACGGCAGCATAGAACGGACTAGAGTGACGAAAGTCAAAATGACAAGTTGAATGAAAGTTTCAGCATGTGCTTGCAAACCTGAAGTTTCTTAGCCAGCCTGGAGCGCCACCTAGTGGTTTCAGGGAGGATTGGCACACATTGATCCTGCAGAGAGCTTTGTGGACTTGGATGGTTGGACTTTCTTTGTTGGGTGGTTGCTCTGAGCCAGATTGTGGCTGTGCTTTGACCTAGTTCTTCCTCTGAAGGAGGCACAAGACCACTACACAATGTGCGTGACCCAAGTAGCTGCTCCATTCGCCTTGCTCCAATCCCCTTATAGGATTCTGGTTCAGCAATGCATAGAAAGGTCCCCATTTATGTTTTCATGCCAGGTTGGACCAACTTTCTTTCTGTTTCCCCATTTATCACTGCCCTTCTGATGTGGCGCTGTGGGTTAATGCGCTGGACTACAAAGTCAATTTAAACCACAAGGTCAGTGGTTCAAGCTTACCAAACCCTACATAGGGTCGCTTTGAGGCGGAACTGACTCGATGGCACTTAACAACATTCATTCTTCAAAGCAAGACCTGCTGATACTGCCTTCAAATACATCTCAAATTGACTGTCCCTCCCCTCTCCTCCATAACTAGCATAGTATAGGTTGCCTGCAGAGATCGCCAACTGACTGCACCCCGACCACCTTCCCCTGCCCTCCAATGGTCTTGTCCTTTGAACAGCAAGCAGAGGGATCTGTTGAAAACATAAATTAGTTTACGCCACTGCCCCCTGTTCCAGAGGTTTCCCATCACAATGAGAACATCTCCCACCATTGTGACTCCCATGATCCTGGTGCAGTCACAATGGGAAACTTGCTCTACCACTGGCCAAACATTCCCACCTCAGGGCATTAGCACTTGCTGTTCCCTGTCTAGAACACTCTTCCCCCAAAATCTTTACGTAGGTCGCTCCTTTCTCATCGTGTGGGTTCCTCGCAAATAGCATAGTTTCTGTGAGGCTTTATCTGACTGCTCTTCCCCCTCAGTTACTTACGAACTCTGTACCTAGTCTTACTTTTACTTCATGGCCCCTGAAGTTCTACTATCAGTTTGTTTATGTGATAATAGGGCCCTCTGTGAGAATCTGGAGTCCCTGGGTAGTGCTTACAGTTAACATCCTCTACTGATAACTGAAAGGTTGGAGGTTTCAGTTCATCCAGTGCTGCCTAGAAAGAATGGCCTGGTAACCAATCTGGGTTTGGGAATTGAAGGAGCAACAGAGATGCCATCTCCTCAGGGGACCCTCCTGCGCTTCCCCTCACCTTCCCATGCGTCTGGCAGAGCTGTCAGTTAACGATGGCATGACTGTGTTTCCTCCCTGGAGCATGAGCAGTTTGAGAGCAGGGATGTGCTTGATTCTGGGGTCCCGGCAGACAGCACAGTTCTGGTCCATACAGTGAACAGTGTCTGGTTCTGGCCCTTTTGTGTTACAGACTTCATTTCATTTACAGTCTAACATCAGTCTGGCAGGTGGATGAGAGTGTTCTCGTTCTACAAGATTCCAAAGCCAGGACAAGTTGGAACCGAGCGTCAAATCCACATCTGTGACTTCCAGCTCCTTGTGCCCCATGTGGAACGTTCTTGTCCTCCACTGCTCCAATGCTACCCGTACCTGATAGCCTCCTCCAACTGGCATTGCTGACCGGGACAGCGACTGTGTCCTCCAAATGCCTGTAGCATTTCTCTGGCACCGCTGTGTACTGCCTAGGGGTAGATTTGCTTTGTTATTGCTCCAGTCCTCTCTGCATCCGGAGTGGAGGTCCCTGAAGTGGTTGTAGCTTTTCTGGCACGGGACCCCTCATGCTGTAGGTACTCAATAAATACTGGCTGACTGATTGATTGGCTCCTCAGACTCCAAAAACTTCCCCTGAACTGCAGAGGGAGTGGGAGAGTGTCAGCTCTGTTGAGCATAAAATAAAGCAGATGTGGAGATTTTCAGCCAGTGAAACCGAAGCTTCCCAGGTGGAGCTGGTGGCGTCGGCAGCCCCAGGGGTACTGTTGAGGAGAATCGGTTTTCGGGCTGAGTTGGATGGATGGTGAAGGCAGAGAGGGACTCCACCATGCCCTGTACATCAGCCAGCTGGATGTATTCTTATCCTTCTCCATGTGTGGGAAATTATGTTCTGTGGGATTCTGAGAACAGTGGGCAAATGGCCCTTCTGGTTAGCACACTAGGAGAACCGCTCCTGAGAGTTACGGTGTTGAGAAATTGGACTCCAAGATCCTTTTCCCGATCCCTAGAGACAAGTCCTTACTTGTTTTTCCTGACCGCTGGGCTCCTTTCTCCCACTGCCTCCTTCCTGGATCCCAGGTCCTCTTCTGTCAAATAGAATAATCCCAACCACTCATATGTGTCTGGTACCTTTGATCTATTTTTAAATGCTTTTGCCTGTGTCTTATTTAGTTTGAACTCAGAGTGACCCTATGAGGCCATGAAGCTGGCATTGTCCCATTTGCCAGATGGGGAGAATGAGATGCAGAGAGGCTATGACATTTATCCACATTATACAATGGACATGTTTTTGCCTTGTGACCAGATCTGGAACCATCACTTCCAAATCAGATGTGGCCACCACATCTGACTAGTAGGCCAGTCCTCACCCTTTTCTGCATCTCAGAGGTGGCGTTGGGGGACATGCAGTCTTTTGAATTTCATGGTGATGAATCCAAGTGCAATATTGGTCTAACAGATTCTCCTTTCTTTCCAGCTCTGTGGCTGTGGACTGCTTGGAGTAGGCATCTGGCTCTCCGTGTCCCAAGGCAACTTTGCCACCTTCTCCCCCAGCTTCCCCTCCTTGTCTGCAGCCAATCTAGTCATCGCCATAGGCACCATTGTCATGGTGACGGGCTTCCTCGGCTGCCTGGGGGCCATCAAGGAAAACAAGTGCCTCCTTCTCAGTGTAAGTAGAACCCTGAATGTTCCATCTCTCTTCAGTTGGACCATTGAGACAGACAAAGTCAACTGGGTGCCCAAGCTAAGCCCAGGGAAATTGCTTCTAGAATGCTCCACACCTAACCACATCCCTCTTCCTCCTGATCGATTATACCTGCATTAGATGATGTCTGCTCCATTCCTTGATCACTTGTCTACTACTCTATCCTCCGTTAGGAGTCCTGGTGGTATAGTGGGTTAAGTGTTGGTCTGCTAACTGAAAGGTTTGCAGTTCAAACCCACCAGTTTCTCCTTAGGAAAAAGATGAGATTGTCTATCCCTGTAAAGATTTGGAGTCTCAGAAATCCTAGGGAGCAGTTTTACTTTGTTTGTTGGGATGCTGTAAGTCCGAGTTGACCCAATGGCAGTGAGTGATGTGAAGTGAGTTTGTTTCCCTTCCCTAGCTCCCTGGGCTTCCTCAGGAGGAAGTGGCCCTGCCAGTGCCTTGGAAGGCCTGCCTAGGCGCAGCCTGTCCCTGACCTCCCCACCATCCTTGCTCGCACCCAGCCCCAGCATTGCTGTCAGATGCTTCATGCCGGCTTCTTTTCTTGACAGTTTTTCATCGTCCTGTTGGTCATCCTCCTTGCAGAGTTGATCTTACTTATCCTGTTTTTTGTCTACATGGACAAGGTAGGTACCACAGGAAGAAGGGGGGCAGATGGAATGTCACTGTCCCTGCAAGGAGGTGGGGTGCTTTCCCTGGGCAGAGGAAAATGGCTGGCTAGGATGAGGAAAGGAAAATGGAACTGGAGTTAGGAAAGACCCCCTTGGAAGATTTTGATGGGGGCAGCATAGAGCTAGAGTGAGAGTTAATGACTCTTGTGTAGTGTTAGGAAGTAGAATACTCAAAATCACTGAGGGATTGGAGGGGCTTCATTAGTGAGCACCGGAAGTTATTCGAGCATAGGTCAGTGTGACCACTTGCTAGGCAGTTCAGATATGGGATTCAAAGCTCACCAAGTGGCTGGACTGGATTATTAGAGGTTTATCCACTAAAAACATGAAAGAACATTCTAGAGACAGTGATGACAGTGGAGGTATTGTTCCTAGACTCAGCTTATACCTTGGTGTTCAGGAGGATAGGGGTAGGCTCTGGTGGCTTTCCCGATAGAGCAGTTTGCCATCAGACTGTGGGATAACTTTGGTTTTGGTGCCACCAAGAGTGAAGGGTCAAGCTCTCATTCTCTTCATGTGGATTTAGTAGACCCTGACGGTGCCGCGGTTAAGTGGTTGGCTGCTATCCAATAGGTCAGCACTTTGAACCTACCAGCAGCTCTGAGGGAGAGAGATGTGGCAGTGTGCGTTTGTCAGGACTTACCTTCTCAGAAACCCTATGGGACGGTTCTACTCTATCCTGTAGGGTCCCTGTGAGTCAGAGTGGATTCAACAACAGCAGGTTAATTCTATGTATGTGTCCCTTGGTGGGCTCTTGAAGTAGTTGTCCAAGCCACGGGCTCTTGAAGTAGTTGTCCAAGCCACTGAAAGTAAGAGGCATTAGTAGAATTAGAAACAACAGTTCTTTGGTTTTGCAATTGTGAAAGGGAAGAAATAGCAACATTTATTGAACCAGTCCCTTGTGCCAGCCATGTTCTTAGCTCTTTGGAAGAACGATTTCCTTTATCCTCACAACAGCCCCATGAAGTAGATACTGTTAGTCCACCATTACAGGTAACGAGGCATAGGTTACATTACTCGCTAGTGTGAGGTGGAAGTACACTGACCGACCTGGCCACCCGCTCACCTCTAGAGTGTACATTTAAATATATATATATATATATATATATATATATTGTAAAAATATATCTAGCACAGCAATTGCCAACTCAACATTTTCCAGGGCCTGTTTAGACAGGGACCGGTATGACTGTGTTGGGGGTAGGGCAGCAGAGTAGCCTGTGAATGGCTGGAGCTGGGACCAGACAGCTGAGGCGTTCTTTTTGCCCCTTAGTACCCTGGCCCCAAGGAGCTCTGGTAGCGTAGTGGTTATGAGTCGGGCTGCTAACCTCAAAGTTAGCAGTTTGAAACTACCAGCCGTTCCGCGGGAGAAAGATGAGGCTTTCTGCTCCCATAGATTTACAACCTTAGAAACCTGTGCAGGGTCGCTATGAGTCAGAACTGACTCCACAGCACATAACCACTACCACCACCATCTGGCCCCAGCCTTAAGAGCTTAACTCCCCTGAGAGCCAGTGAGAGAAAACCCATTGGGTCGCAGAGTTCCCCAGGTGGGGAGGGCCCTCCAGACCAGCCCCCATTTCCCCCCATCTGGTTGAGCTGGGACCATTTGGGCAGGTGAGATTGTCCTGGTTCTGACCAGCCTGTCCTGCGTGCCCTCCACCTGCCAGGTGAATGAGAATGCCAAGAAGGACCTAAAAGAGGGCTTGCAGCTGTACAACACGGAGAACAATGTGGGACTGAAGAACGCCTGGAACATCATCCAGGCTGAGGTGGGGCATGTCGCAGCCTGGGGCCCTGGTTGTCTACCCCGGGCATGGATCTGTGGGGGGAGCATGACCCCTCCGGGACACTTGCTGAATTGCTGGGTCAGACGAGATCCAGTGGGATAGACTGGGCAGGGAGGAGGATGAGGGTGGAGGCAGGTAAGCAGGGCTGGGATGCAGCAGTGCTTAGGTCTGAGGGAGCTCTAGGGGTGGCTCAGCAGACTCAGAGAGCTAGGGAGGGCAGATCAGCCAAGTCTTTCTTCTAGGCAACTTTGGGGTGCAGACTTTATTTAGCAAGAATGGATTTACATCCTTGATCATGTCTGGCTCTGGTCAGGAGACACTAATTATAAGATGCACACAGATTGATATGCCCCAGACACCCCATTTTCAATACTGCCGAGGGGCCAGCTGGGAGGACCCACAAAGCTGGACGTTGAAGGTGCTGGTGGGAGACAGAGAGAGCAGGGCACAGTCCATCACATCCCTGTGGGGCTGGGGGCCCAGAGGAGGGTGGGCCAGCCTGGCTCCTTCTCACTGCCCTCCTTCATCCTGCCGGCAGATGCGGTGCTGTGGCGTCACTGACTACACAGACTGGTACTCAGTGCTGGGGGAGAACATGGTGCCCGACCGCTGCTGCATGGAGAACTCACAGGGCTGTGGACAGAACACCACCACCCCACTGTGGAGGACGGTGAGGCTGCCAACGTGGGGACCTCTGTGATGGGTGTGGTCTGGCAGGAGGAACCCTGGAGGGGGGGAGGTGGGTAGGATACTAAAGAACTGGCTTACTGAGAGTGAGGTGGGGGCACTGAGCCAGAGAGCCGGTGGAAAGGAGAGGAGGGGCTGGACCAGAGGGTGAGGGATGGGGGCGACCGTATGAGAGTCAGGGAGGGACAGAAGGTAAGGACCAGGACAAGCGGGTGAAGGGGAAAGTGGTGGATGCGCTGGTCATGGCAGACCCTTTACCCCGTTGTCCTCATTCCCCAGGGCTGCTATGAGAAGGTGAAGATGTGGTTTGATGACAACAAGCATGTGCTTGGCACGGTGGGGATGTGCATCCTTATCATGCAGGTAAGCAGGTGTTGCAAGCCAGAGGAGGAAGAGGAAACGTGAAGGAGTTAAGTGATTTGTTAGTATTCCGAGGAGCCAGGAGTCTGCACACTTACCTGCTGGGCCTTCCGGGCCTCATCCTGGTGGGTCTTTCTCATAAGATGCTGGTCCAGACCCTGCCAGGCAGAACCAGCTTCCCCAGTGCTCCCTCAGAACCAGGGCTTGGTGGGTGGCGGTGTTGCCGGTAGTACCTGTATGTGTGTTTGTGAATGTACCTATCATCTGCTATACAGGGAAGTTGTAAGTCAGGACTATAGCATACAGGTAGTCCAGAACTACAATTTGTGATTGAAAAAATGTTTGTTTGTTTGTTTGTTTTTTTAAAATACATCTTATTGTTAGTAATGGGAGCGTACTGGTTCCATACAATAAGCACTGGACCGCAAACCACAAGGCCCTTGGTTCAAACCTACCAGCTGCTCCATGGGAGAAAGATGAGACTTTCTGTTCCTTGAATAATTAAAACCTCAGAAACCATATATAGAGTCGCTATGAGTCAGAACAGACTTGATGGCACTTAACAACAACAAATCGTTTGTAGTATGTACGTATTAAAATATATCTGGTGGATTATATATCTAATAAGTTTATATGGAGTCCTGGTTGTGGGGCTGTAGGATAAGCACTAGACTGCTATCCTACAGCAGTTCAAATCCACTAGCTGCTTCTTGGAAAGCTTACACAGGGTATGTATTGGAACTGACTTAACGTTTATATGTAGTTTTTCCAACCTCCAAAGACAAATAAAGATTAGATTTATAAAGATACTGATAATATAAATAAAATTTTTTGAAGATAGTGATAATGAAAACTAATGATGACGTTGTTGGAAGGATCCCCAGTCATAAGTTGGGGACTGCCTGTTCTGTACTGAATTAACCTTGAGTCTTTGGCTAGCGATATGTACACAGGCCCACAAATCAGACTCTGATGGTGTGTTCTGGCTTTGCCACTTATGAAATATGTGAGCTGGGTAAGATACTTAGATTTTCTGTGCCTTAATTTCCATACAGGATCATGGATATGATAATAGTACCACTTCTTAGCATTGTTGTTGTTGTTGTTAAGTGCTGCTGGGTCAGTTCCCATGCATAGCAACCCTTTATAGGTTTCCAAGGAGTGGCTAGTGGGTTTGAGCCACCAATCTTGGGTTAGCAGTCCAGTGCTTATCCTATCAGCAAATGATTTTTCCGGGCCATTGCGAACCTCAAAGTTAGCAGTTGGAAACTACCACTGTTCCACGGGAGAATGATGAGGCTTTCTGCTCCTGTAAAGATTAATGGCCTTGGAAAACTCTGTACAGGGACGCTATGAGTCAGAACCAACGCCACGGCACATAACCAGCCACCACCACCACATGAGTAGGTGAGGGCAGTGGTGGTTCGGGGGTAGAATTCTCACCTTCCATGTGGGGGACCTGGGTTTGATTCCTAGCCAGTGCTCGTCACTTAAAGCCACCACTTGTCTGTTACTGGACGTGTGGGTGTGGTGGAGCTCCAAGACTAAGATGGACTAGGAAAATCAGCCAATGAGATCCTACAGAACCCAGTGATCCAATCTAAAACCCTTCATGGGGATGGCACAGGACCAGGCAATGTTTCGTTTTGTTGTGCATGGGACCTCCACGAGTTGGGGTCTGGCTTGATGACAACAGCAGCAGCAGCCTAGTTAACAGAGAGGGAGAAGGAAGGATTCAGACTCAACCCCTGCCGCCTTTCTCAAAGATGAGACCGACATGGCTGACTAGGAGCAGGCGCTCCCTGACCTGCCTGGGAAGATGCACAGAGGTTGCATCAAGGGGAAGAGCATTTTGGGGGCTTTTGGGTGGCTCCTCCCCCTGGTGACCTGGAATCTCAGTGTCTGATTCCTCTAGGAGCAACCAAACTTGATTGTTTGGTCCGTGGGAATACGGTTAAAGTTTTCTTTCTTGCCAGGTTCTGTCTCCTGGAGGTTTGATTGTTGTTGTTGTTATGTGCCGTGGAGTCGGTTCCGACTCATAGCGACCCTATACAGGGTTTCCGAGGCTGTAAATCTTTACGGGAGCAGAAAGCCTCATACCTATCAATAATTACATTGATTGTCAATGGATTGAACGCACCAGTCAAGAGTCAGACAGTAGCAGAATGGGTAAAGAAAA